GTAGTCACTGGTGAGGTTGTTTTCCATCGAAATGACAATAAAACGATTTTTAGTTGCATTTATAGGATAACTCATAACTCTATATTAGTTGGCCAACCCAAACATGTAACAAAGTAAATATATAAGGATCGGAGAGGTAGAATAAATCGAGGAACTTAAAACCGATCAGAATTATCAAAGGAATGCAAGATATGACAAGAGGAGCCAGATGGCCTCACAAGTTCACCTACCCTTATCTCTTTGCGTAGGAGTATTGTTTCCTTTTCTTGCGTTCATCCCAAATGATGAATCTGGATATCTATTGAATATTTAAATGAATAAACTTGAATATTTGAAAAGAGCTAGGGTATGCTCCCACACTTGTAAATTTTAAATAAACTATTACTCTAGCTGTTTTTTTTTTTTTTAATTAGTTTGTATAATGGAGAGACAACCCTTTCTCATTTCTTAATCCGCTGCACTTATATATAACTCAAACTCAAGATGTTTGTTTTCACTTGGAGGAGAAAATCCCACCAAGCTGCTATATTGTTGGCATTAGCTATTGATTTGTTGATGCAACAATTTAAGACATATTACTAAATATAGCATCATCATTTTCAACTATTGGATGTGAAAATCAATGGCTAATAATTTATGTTACACTTGCATCCTAACTCATTTAAACAAGTAAAAGAAAGAAAATGAGATATTTTTGAGGAACAACTAGCAACACATGGGATCAAAATGAAAAATCTTTATGGCAACACTTATAATTAGAATAACTAGGTTAGAAAATCCCTAATTAAATTACAAATATGCAAAAAATAATTGTCGAGGATTTAATAGATTATTAGCAGTCTCACAGACAACAATAAGAAAAGCATTCTCAACTATAGGAGTTTTTTTTTGACAATTTTGCTATCAGAAAGGTATTTTGCACAACTTAAAATATTGGGCACACTCCCTAATATTGAGAGCGGACCCCAAACCAATGATACCTGCTTTGTAGTAACTTTCTGGCTATTAGATGACATGAGGCAATGGAAACACCAGTACAAAGTATACATCTCTTTCACAAATTTCACTTTCATAACATAGAAAAAATGGAAATCGCATACTCTCCTTATACTTCTTTTTATGAACTGTCATGTATTTGGTAATTACAATTCATAGATCTTATTGGGACTAGATTTACATATGTACTATCGTAAGATTTCAATTCTTCTATAAACCAGAAACAGAGAACTAAAAATTCAATGTTTTACTTCTTAAATTTTGCAATAAGAGAGGAGATTAGAATGAGTCCACCTAATTGGACTTAGTGTTCTTATTGTAATGTCCTTTTTCTATTGAGTGAAAAAATGTCATTTTTCTTCAAAAATATCCTTTTGATCTCAAAGTTTTGGACTTTTGCAGTAACACATGATAAAGAGTCAATCATTCATGATTCATCTAAGTAACTCCATTAGAATCTCAACTAGCTTTTGTTCATATTACATTGTTCCTTTGTTTTCCTCTCTCCCTTATCTCTTTTCAAGTTTCTACAAGTTTATTATCAGTAAGTATAACCAAATTATTGTTGTGCTCCCACCTAACGATTCTATCTTTTATGTCCAGCTATTCTTGATGTGGTATTTGATAAGAAGCATTTTTATATGGTTTAATCTATTAGTTTAGCCTTGATTTTATTACTATTCTCAAGAATAATATGTTATTTTCAATAGATTTTACATTGTTTTATTCTTTGTGCAAAAAAAGACTTGAATGCATAACAATAGGAGTTTTGAGATTAATTGAATATCTTTTAAGATGAGTGACTGAATTGCAAGAAGAAAGGTGCCATTTTGGGACATAAATGAATGAATCTTAAGTTTTGGATCAAAGTGCTCATTATATAAAATTTGGAGGACCAGATCTGCATTTTACCATTGAAGAAATTGCAAAGCCCGACAGGGGTGTGGTGTCAACACATAATTCGGGTCACTAGCACCATGCGTTAAGTGTCCATAATTGAAGTTTCTTGTTTTGTCCCAAGTCCTGCTTCTTTTCTATTAGGGTTTCTTAAACTCTATAAATACCCATTTAAAAATCAGATTTAGGGCTTTTGGAAGGAGACCAAGATAGACGATTAAGAAGAATTCAACAACAAAAGAAGATCAAGACTTAAGATCTTATATTATCAAACTAGTTTTGCTTATTCTTGAATTTTATTTTATGATGTTGGATATTCATATATTCATTATGAGATTGTTGATTTTCTTTTCTTTAATTATGAATTGATTTTGCTGTCTAAGGCTATGATGTAACCTAATTAATTCGATATAGAATACCATTATTTTTGTACTTTTAAGATTTATTATTTTATGTAGAGTATATATTATTATTCTTAATACTTTTTAATGATTGGCCACCATTAAAACTAATTTGGAGAGCATAATTGAGACCGAGAGGAAATTTTATGCAATAACTTCTAGTAATATATATCATGACTTAAACGAAAGCTAAAGATGTACCAACCTGATTTGTGCAGCATTAATGATAAGTAGATTTAATTTTTTACATGAGCTAAGAAATTTCACAAATCATAAATGCATTTTTATTTATTTAAATTCACATAGGGATATAAATGGTTAATAGATGAAGATAAGTTTGGTATAACTTAAGAAAGTATATCAAGTAGAATAGAAAATCCTGCTATCACAAAAATAATAAATACCTTGAAAATATATTAATCTAAATTCCATATTCATTGATTATAATGGCTTAGAATTTTAACTCTTGATGTTACTCAAAGTCAATTTAGTTTTTCTTTAATTGTTTGTTTTAATTGATTTAGTTAATTACATTATTCAAATAATTTAATTTCAATTGTTCAAATAAAATAAAATTAGAATTAGTTAATTTTGGTACTTAATTAGTCTACAGTCTCTATGAAATGATACTCTATTGTCATGTCCCAAAACCAAGAGCGAAACAGATGCTGTGCACTCGTGAACGGGTCCCACAAATGCACAAGGCTTGGAACCTATTGTGTTCATAATTACCAATTTACACAACTTAAATCTAAAAACACGGTTAATATCTAACTTTCAATTACAAAAAATTTACTAGTCAAGATGTACAAAAATTTATAAGATAGTCATGGCTATAACCAAGGGAAACTCAATATACAACAAAATGATTTATCATTTTTCATCTATGTCAAGCATGTGTGGCTAACGGCCTAAGTCCAAAAAGGATCTAAGTTCAAAATACTGACTAGCCTTCTAGCTTGTCACTCCCCCTGATTAACCATGCCTTGGTCTCACTTCTTGAAATGGTGGACAAGGAAAACTATGAGATAAGATATCTCAGTAAGTAAAAAATATGGATAGCCCATGAGTAAAATTTAAGCATGCTTGATAAACAATTTAACATAACAAAACATTCAATGATAAACCATTAATGCAAAATAAGATTCAGTAGTAGTCTCATCTATAAGTGATGGCCAGTGTTTAACAAACTCCCATTGGCAGGCGTCAGTAATAACCAATGTATTATCCCATTGGCAGGATTACAGAATGAACCGGTCTTATCGGTATACATGTTGACATGTGCTAGCGTTTGCAAACTCCCACTAGTAGGCATTAGTAATCATGACTATATTAGAGATAAAACCATGCACGATTTATAGGAAAATTCGTAATTTACAATCAATCTCAAATTTCAAGAATAAACCGAAAAAATTCCATGTGGGCATGCTCAACCCCAAAAAAAAAAAAAAAATTTTCATTTCCATTCTAATCATGCTCAGGTGCTAATAAAATCAATTTAAACCTTGCCACTATCTCAAAAACAGTTTAAAATATGCTTTTACTTTGAAATCGAAGGGTTTTACCATAATTTACTTACCTCAATCACATAACACAGAAAACTCACTCCAAGTGCTAGGTTGACAGAATAATCAAGAATCAAACCAAAATATTCCAGAATTAATAACCATATGACCAGACATATCAATTCTATTCTCAATATAAACTAAACATTTACCTTCCTATTGTTGCCGGCTATTAATCCCATAAATAAATCTTATTTATATATTTATTTATTTATCCTTATTTTTTTTTCTATCCGAAATTTGAGCACAAAAATCAAATTGTGCATTTATATATATGTACATAAACACACATACAAAATTCTCCAAATTCATGGACAATATGGAGTAACCAGCTTTGGCAAAACAATAGCTAATTCACGGGATTTTTCTTTAGAACCTCGCAGCAGCCAATTAATACCCAAACACATAAATTCTACATGAATTAAGCTTAAATTTTGTCCTAATTGCTACCAGAATTCATCCCCTATTTCAGCAGAAATTCAGACAACACAGGGGCGGCAATTAATGGATAAATTCAACAACTAATGGGTAATTTTGGACTTAGAGGGAGCTGTCACATACCAAAAAATTCAACAAGCAAAAATTGGAGTTGGCGGGTTGGGGAAGTCGATAGAAATTGAAGGAGAATTTAGGGGATCTACCAGAAATTGGGAGAAATCAAAAGAAATTAGAGTAAACCCAAGCCAAATCAAGGGAGAAAAGAGGAATTAACGACTGTTTCCTTACCAGAAACTTGAAAAATTCACACCCACATAGCCAAGAGCAGCGGACGGAGGGGGAAAGAACAAAGCAGATCTAAAATTTTTCTGCAAGGGGAAGATTTCTAAGTTCTAAATCTTGTTCTTGAACAAGAAAGAAGGGAAAAAAATCAAGCTTTTACCGTTTCTCAAGAGGATGGGTGTTGTCGGTGGCTTAGGGCTTCTTGTTCGGTTGTAGGGGAGAAGAAGAAGAGTAGAAACGTGCAGCTGAGGAGGAAAGAAAGAAAAAAAAAATCAATCGATCCTTATCCTAATTCTTTTCTCTTTTAATTCCCTCAAATTTGAAAATTCTATGATTAAACTCAACAATATTATTCTCTCACAATTAGGTCCCTAGCTCACACTTAAACGTTTAAAAAAATTTTGGGGTATTACATCCACCCATCCTAAAAAGGAGTTTAGTCCCCTAAACTTCTACCTCAATCTTGGAAGAGGTGTGGATGTTCCTACCTCATCTTAGATTCCAACTCCCAAGTAGCTTATTCAACCGAATGGTTATCCCAAAAGACATTAACAAAATGAATAGTCCTTCTTCGCATTACCCTCTTCTTGAAATCTAAAATACGGATCGGGTGCTCATCATAAGGGAGATCTTCTCAAAGTTGAATGGGTTTGGGATCAATGATGTGGCTCAAATCAGGAATATACTTCTGAAGTAAAGACACATGGAACACATCATGAACACCCGCTAAATTTCCAGGCAACTCTAATCGGTAAGCTACCTCGCCAACCCTTTCCAGGATAGGATATGGTCCAATATACCTCGGACTCAATTTTCCCCGAATGCCAAACTTGAGGACACCTCGAGTGGGTGACATGTTCAAAAATACATGATCACCGACTTCAAGCTCAAGGTCTCATCTCCTTTTATCCACATAGCTTTTTTGCCTACTCTGTGCAGCATGAAGGCATTCCTTGATCAATTGCACAATCTTAGAAGACTGTTGCACCAATTCTGGGCCCAGAATGCTTTTCTCGCCTACCTTTGCCCAACAAATAGGTGATCTACACCTTCGACCATACAAAGCCTCAAACGGTGCCATGCGGATGCTGGACTGGTAACTATTATTATAGGCAAATTCAGCCATGGATAAGTGCTGATCCCATGAACCCTTCTAATCTAGAATGCAAGCCCTCAACATGTCCTCAAGTATCTAAATAGTTCTCTTAGATTGCCCGTCAGTTTGAGGATGGAAGGTCATGCTAAAATTTAATTCAGTACCAAGGGCTTGCTGCAAGCTTGTCTAGAAGTGAGATAAGAATCTTGTATCTCTATCTGACACAATAGATGCAGGGACTCCATGCAGCCTGATTATCTCATTCATGTACATATTGGCAAGCTTCTCAACGGATGCGCCAATCTGGTAAGGTAAGAAATGTGCTAACTTGGTCAATCGATCAACGATGACCCAGATGGAACCATTTCCCTTTAAGGTTCATGGTAAACCCGTCACAAAGTCCATGGTGATATTCTCCCACTTCCATTGGGGAATAGGTAGCGGCTGCAGCTTCCCAGGAAGTCTTTGGTGTTCAGCCTTGACTTTCTAGCAAGTCAAGCATTGTGAGACAAATCTAGCTATCTCCCTCTTCATATTTCGCCACCAAAATGTACTACGGAAGTCACGATACATCTTGGTGCTACCTAGGTGAACTGTGTGACTAATATTATGGGCATCTCCCATAATCTCACACCTTAAAGCATGATCTCTTGGTACACACAGCCTATCACCAACCCACAGAGTCTCATCGTCAGAAACTGAATTCTTGCATGTGGGGCTCCCCCGTCTTTACTTTTTCCTTCAACCTTTGCAAGAAAGGATCTTTTTGTTTGGCAACTTTAATTCTATTAATTAATGCTGATTGTGCACTGAGAGCAGCTAAATAAGCTGTAGTACTGTCCATTCTCAACTCCACATCCAGTTTCACAAGATTCTCAAGTAACTCCTTCTAGGTGGCAAGGATGCTAGAGGCAGTGCCAGAGGACTTCTTACTCAACGCATTTGCTACTTTGTTGGCTTTGCTTGGATGGTAGCTAATGGTCAAGTCATAATCTTTCAAAAGTTCAAGCCATCGCCTCTACCTCATGTTAAGCTCTTTTTGAGTGAAAATATACTTGAGACTCTTGTGATCGGTGAATTTCACAGGTCTCACCATATAGATAATGCCTTCAGATCTTGAGTGCAAATATCACAGCTGCCAACTCCAGATCATGGGTTGGGTAATTTTCTTCATAAGGCTTTAACTGTCGTAAAGCATATGCAATAACCTTATCTTTATGCATCAAGCCACATCCCAAACCCTTTTTAGAGGCATCACTATATATAGTGAATCCTTCCCCATTGATGGGAAGTGCGAGTACAGGAGCAGTGACCAATTTCTCTTTAAGGGTCAAAAAGCCCTTTTCACACTCTAGAGTCCACTCAAATTTGGTGTCTTTCCTAATCAAACGGGTCATTGGTAGAGTAATTCTAGAGAAATCCCCCACAAATCGACAGTAATAACTAGCCAATCCTAGAAAACTACAAACTTCTACAACACTATTCGGCCTTTTCCAATCCATCATAGCCTTAATCTTCTGGGGGTCAACAGAGATTCCATCCTTAGTCACAATGTGACCTAGAAATGCAACATTATCTAGCCAAAATTCACATTCTTAAATTTAGCAAACAGCCTCTCACTTCTCAATGTCTCGAGAACCGTCCTTAAATGCTTTTCATGAAGAGCATGGCTAGAAGAGTAAATCAAAATGTCATCAATAAAGACAACCACATGCTGATCTAGGTACTTGCTAAATACCTGATTCATCAATTCCATAAATCTTGCAAGGGCATTTGTTAAGCCAAAAGGCATAACCAAGAATTCATAGTGACCATAGCGGGTATGGAAGGCAATTTTTGGCACATCATCAGGTTTAATCTTCAACTGGTAGCCAGATCGGAGATCAATCTTAGAAAACACTTGGGCACCCTTAAGCTGATCAAACAAGTCATCAATTCTAGGAAATGGATATTGGTTCTTCACAGTCACCTTATTTAGTTCTCGGTAATCTATGCATAGTCTCATGCTCCCATCCTTCTTTTTAACAAACAACATTGGAGCTCCCCAAGGTGACACACTAGGTCATATAAACCCTTTCTCAAGGAGTTCCTCTAGTTGGACCTTTAACTCCTTCAACTCCGCAGGAGCCATACGGTACGGGGCTTTGGAAATAGGTCTGGTGTCAGGAACAAGATCAATAGCAAATTCAATCTCCCTATTTGGAGGTAAACCTGGGAGATCCTTTGGAAATACATCCGGAAACTCACACACCACAGGGATGTCTTCTAGTCTCAACGTCACACTATTAGCATCAGTGACAGAAATTAAGAAACCCTGGCAACCATTTATAAGATATTTTTGAGCCTACAAGACCGATATTAGCATGGGTGCAGCAAAGGAACCACTACCTTGGAAACTAAATTCTGGCTCCCCAGAAATATTAAAAATTACCCATTTACGGTTGTAGTCTATAGAGGCAAAATATTTTGACAGCCAATTCATCCCCAAAATGATGTCAAAATCAAAGATATCTAAAACAAACAGGTTAGCACTCAATTGTCTATCATCAATATAAATATCTACAGTCCTACACACAACTCTAGTAGTCATCACCCCTCCTAAAGGGGTGTCCACATGTAGTTCAAAATCGAAAGTATCAATAGGTAAGGCTCGTTTCAAAGTATAAGATCGAGCTATAAAAGAGTGTAATGCACTTGAATCAAATAAAACATGTGCATAATCAAAATTGTCAGGTAAAGTACCCATGATTACATCGGTAGCCGCAGCTTCCTTGTGAGTCATTACGTGCACTCTCGCCTACTGGGCTCTCATCCTAACCCCGACATTCTATTTCTGTGCCCCCTGATTAGTAGAACCCTGCTGAGATGTAGATTGAGTACTCTGAGCTCTGGGGTCTAGCTACGAACAATTAGCAACTCGACGTCCTTGCTTGCCATATTTGAAGCAAGCCCCAGTAGTAATGTGACACTAGTCGCGAGTGTGGCCAACTCTACCACAAGTGTGGCAAATAGGTGGAGCAAGATGAGTATGTTGGGCTACTGATGCCTGACCCACAGTCTTGGCAACCCTTAGCTCTTTAGAACCCTTGCCAGTATCAGACTTAGACGGTGCAAAGATAAAGGGTCTACAGCTCCCATCAAATTTTCTCTTCCCAAGGGATGACCCAACTTTTTACGGATCTGGTGTCTTGACTTTAGCCATAGCCTTCTCCTGATCTATGGCTTTGTCTGCTGCCTCTTTATAAGTGGTAGGTTTGAATTGATTCACCACCAGATAAATGTCAGGATTCAAGCCCCATGAAAATCTATCAGCTTTGGCTTGCTCATCCCCGACTTGACTACCCACAAAAGGCATATAGCAGTCAAACTCCTTGTAGTGCTCAACTGTACGTGACCCTTGTTTAAGATATGCAAATTCCCTTTGTAGCTCACGCCTTTTGCTATCGATGAACACCTTTTTAAAACCATTCCAGGTGCTCAATTCAGGCTCTCCTTGGTGTAGCTTCAAGTATCTCTCCCACCAAGTCAATGCTTCACCTGTAAGCATATAACTGCCCACATCGACCTTAAGGTCATCAGAAATCTTCAGTAGGCAAAATCCCCTTTCCACCTCGGTAATCCATGACCCTACCTACTCAAAACCGGTGGTACCATCAAATTTCTTGGTCACCACCTTTTGGAATTCTATATAGACCTTCCAGCTAGGCACATCAAGAGCAGAAGATATAGGAGCAGGAGAAATAGGAGCAGGGGCCATAGGAGTGGAAACCACTGGGATGGAGGTGGCACACTCCTGGCAGAAAATGCTTGGCGTCTCATCTTCGCCATAAATTCTTGAACAAAAGTGGCCATTTGAGGCTTACTTGTCCCTCCCTCCTGAGGAGCAGCTTGGGTAAAGGGGCTAGCAGCTGGGATTGGAGGAGTGCTCTGATCTTTATGGCCACCCCTCGGGTGCCCGCGCCGTTTTGGAGCCATTTATAATCACATAGAAGGTTCATAAACTATTAATCAAGTGCCCCGAATTAGAATTTCCAAGCAAGTTTCCACTTCCAGGACCAAAACCTAATAATTAAAATCCAACAGACATTAAAGAAACAATCAAACAAGTGCCCTTAACAACCCCACTCTCATGCCTCACCACGTTCCTATAATCCATTGGCTAGCCAAGTTCTAAACAAATCCTAGGTATTCAATTTAAACCTAGGCTCTGATACCACAAAATCTGTCATGCCCCAAAACTAGGAGCGAAACAGATGCCGTGCCCTCGTGAACGGGTCCCACAAATGCACAAGGCTTAGAACTTATTGTGTTCATAATTACCAATTTACACAACTTAAATCTAAAAATGCGATTAATATCTAGCTTTCAATTACCAAAAATTTACTAGTCAAGATGTACAAAAATTTATAAGACAATCATGGCTATGACCAAGGGAAACTCAGTATACAAAAAAATGATTTATCATTTTTCATCTATGTCAAGCATGTGTGGCTAACGGCCTAAGTCCAAAAAGGATCTAAGTCCAAAATACTGACTAGCCTTCTAGCTCATCACTCCCCTTGGTTAACCGTGCCTCGATCTTACTTCCTCAAATGGTGGATAAGGAAAACTATGAGATAAGATATCTCAGTAAATAAAAATATGGATAGCCTGTGAGTAACATTTAAGTATGCTTGATAAAAAATTTAACATAACAAAACGTTCAATGATAAATTGTTAATGCAGAATAAGATTCAGTAGTAGTCTCATCTATAAGTCATGGCCAGTGTTTAACATTTAACAAACTCACACTGGCAGGCATCAATAATAACCAATGTATTATCCCATTAGTAGGATTACAGAATGAATCGGTCATATCGGTATACATGTCGACATGTGCTAGCGTTTGCAAACTCCCACTAGTAGGTGTCAGTAATTATGACTATATTAGAGACAAAACCATGCACGATTTACAGGAAAATCCGTAATTCACAATCAATCTCAAATTTCAAGAATAAACTGGAAAATTTTCATGTGGGCATGCTCAACCCCAAAAAAATAATAAAATATTTCATTTCCATTATAATCATGCTCAGGTGCTAATAAAATCATTTTAAACCTTGCCACCATCTCAAAAGCAATTTAAAATATGCTTTTATTTTGAAATCGAAAGGCATTACCGTAATTTACTTACCTCAATCGCATAACACAGAAAACTCACTCCAAGTGCTAAGGTGACAGAATAATAAAGAACCTAACCAAAATATTCTAGAATTAATAACCATATAACCGGACATCTCAATTTTATTCTCAATATAAACTAAACATTTACCTTCCTATTGTTGCTGGCCATTAATCCTTATTTATTTATTTATTTATTTATTTATCCTTATTTTTCTTTTATCTGAAATTTGAACACAAAAATCAAATTGTGCATTTATATATATGTACATAAACACACATATACAAAATTTTCCAAATTCACGAACAACATGGAGGAATCGGCTTTGGCAAAACAATAGCTAATTCACGAGATTTTTCTCTAGAACCTCACAGTAGCCAATTAATACCCAAACACATAAATACTACATGAATTAAGCTTAAATTTTGTTCTAATTGCTACCAGAATTCATCCCCTATTTCAGCAAAAATTCGGACAGCGCAGGGGTGGCAATAAATGGATAAATTCAGCAACTAATGGGTAATTTTGGACTTTGAGGGAGCTGTTACATACTAGAAAATTCAACAAGCAAAAATCAAAGCTGGCAGGTTGGCAAAGCTGACGAAAATTGAAGGAGAATTTAGGGGATCTACCAGAAATTAGGAGAAACCAAAAGAAATTAGAGTAAACCCAAGCCAAATCAAGGGAGAAAAGAGGAATTAGCAGTTATTTCCTTACCAGAAATCTGAAAAATTCACACCCACACAGCCAAGAGCAGCAGACGGAGGGGGAAGGAACAAAGCAGATCTGAAATTTTTCTGCAGGGGGAAGATTTCTAAGTTCTAAGTCTTGTTCTTGAACAAGAAAGAAGGGAAAAAAATCAAGCTTTTACCGTTTCTCAAGAGGGTGGGTGTTGTCGGTGGCTTGGGGCTTTTTGTTCGGCTGTAAGAGAGAAGAAGAAGAGCAGAAACGCACGGCTGAGGAAGAAAGAAAGAAAGAAAAATCAACTAATCCTTATCCTAATTCTTTTCTCTTTAAAGTCCCTCAAATTTGAAAATTCTATGATTAAGCTTAACAATATTATTTTCTCACAATTAGGTCCCTAACTCACACTTAAATGTTCTAGAAATTTTTGGGGTATTACATTTGTTGTAATACCCCAAAAATTTCAAGAACATTAAAGTTGAGTTAGGGACTTAATGGTGAGGAAATGTTATTAATGAACATAATAGTCAAATTTTCAAATTCCAAAGGGTTCAAAAGATTTTGGATAAGGCCGGCTGACTTTTTCTTTTTCTTTCTTTCTTCCCCAGCCATTTTCGCGTGTCTGCTCTGTCTCTTTTCTCCCCTGCAACCGGAAATAAACCCAGCCATCACCGACGCCCCACCTGAGAAATTGGTAAGAGAACTTGATGATTTTTGTTCTCTTCTTGTTCAAGAACAAGTCTAGGACTTATAAATCTTCTCCCTTGCAGAAAATTTCCTACATCTGCTATCTTCTTCCTCTTCTGCCACCGGTTGCTACTGGGTGTGAACTTCGGTTTTCCCGGTAAAAATCAACCATGAATTTCCTCTTTTCAGCCTTGATGTATGTGGGTTCACTCTAATTTTCATTTCTTTCAATTGCTAGTGGTCCCTGTGGAAGCCTTCCAAATTTTCTGCCAGCTCTTCCCTATACGCGCCAGCTCCAGCCTTGCTTGTTGAGAACTTTTGGTAGGTTGACTTCTCTAATTTCTGAAAATTGGTTGATTAATTGCTGCCTTGTTGAGCTTAATTGGTTGTATGGGTGCTTGGGTTGTCCGAAAATTTGCTGGAAGTGGGGGATGAATTTTGGCAACCTTGAAATGAGTTTTTAAGTCAAATTATGTAGGAAATGCTTTAATTGGGCTGCTGTGATGTTGTATGAAAGAAAAAGAGAAAAAAATTTCGTGACTTAGCCCTTTTTGTCAAAGCCGGTTCTCCCATTTCCTGTCCATGAATTTGGAAAAAATTGTATATGTGTAACTATGTATATATATATATATGTATATATATAAATGCACAATCTAATGTTGTGTGCTCAAATTTCAGATAGGAGAAAAATAAAAATAAATAAAGAAATAAAATTTCTTTATATATATTAATTCGAAAATATTGTGATTAGGTCCTTGATCGTCCTGTGACCCTAACATTTAGATTAAGCCTTCTGTCCTGTGTGATTAAGGTAAGTAAATTATGGTAATGCCCATAAATTTTAAAACATATTTTAACTTGTTTTTGAGATGGTGGTAAGGTTTAAATGGATTTATTTGCATCTGAGCATGATTAAAATGGAAATTGAACTTTTATTATTTTCTTATTTTCTAGAATTGAGCATGCCCATATGAAATTCTTTCGATTTATTTTTGAAATTGAGAGCGATTGTGAATCATGGACTTTTCTATAAATCTTGCCTGGTTTTGTCTCCGATATGGTCATGTCTTTCGTGTGCTCGTTAATGGGAGGTTTATAAACACTAGCACATGTCGACATGTTACTAATAGAACCGGTTTGTTCGTGTTATCCTACTAGTGGGATTATACACTAGTAATCGTGTGCCTGCCAGTGGGAGGTTTATAACACTGGTCATGACTAATAGAGGAGACCATTACTTAATTTTATTCTGCATTAATGGTTTGTTATTGAAACGCTCTACTTATGTTTAGACTGTTTATTTGGCATGCTTTAAATTTTGATCTTGGGCATTCATATTTACTTACTGAGATATTTTATCTCATAGTTTTCTTTGTCCACCATTTTAGGTAGTGAGACTCGACACATGGGGAGCCTGGGGGAGTGATGAGCTAGACGACTAGGCATTATTTTGGACTTAAGTTTTGTAGCTAGGCCGCTAGTCACCCATGCTGACTTAGAAAATTTTTGTGTACAGAACTCCATTAGTTATAGTCATGACTGTATAGATGAAGTTATAAATCTTTGTACATATTGACTAGTAAATATTTAAGAAAAAAAAAAACTAGATATTACCTGAGTTTCTAAATCTGAATTATCTGAATTAGTAATTATGAACTTAGTAAGTTTCGAGCCTTGTGCATTTGTGGGATCCGTTCACGAGTGCACGGCGTTTATTTCGCTCTTGGTTTTGAGGCATGACAGATTTTGTGGTATCAGAGCCTAGGTTTAATTAAGTGGCTATGACTAGTTTAGAACTTGGCTAGCCAAGGAATGATAGGAACGTGGTGAGGCATGAGAGTAGGGTTGGTTAAAGGCGCTTGTTTGATTCTTTCCTTAATGTGTGTTGGTTTTCTTTGTTTTGATATTTTTGTGTTGCTTGGTCTCGGAAGTGGAAACTTGCGGGGAAATTTGTCGTTGGCACATTTGATTAATAATCTATAAACCTTCTATGTGGTTATAGATGGCCCCAAAATGGCGTGGGCACCCAAGGGGTGGTCATAAGGATTAGGGCACTCCTCTGATCCCAGATGTTAGTCCCTCTGCCCAAGCTGCTCCGTAGGAGGGAGGGACAAGTAATCCTCAGATAGCCACTTTTGTTCAAGAACTTATGGCAGAGATATGACACCAAGCATCTCCTGCCACAAGTGTACCACCTCCATCCCCAGTGGTTTCCACTCCTATGGCCCCTGTTCCAATTTCCCCTGTTCCTATTTCTTCTGCTCCTACAGTGTCTAGCTGGAAGGTCTATACAGAATTCTAAAAGGTGGTGACCAAGAGATTTGATGATACTGCGGGTTTTGAGCAGGTGGGGTTGTGGATTACCGAGGTGGAGCGGAGATTTCGTCTACTGAAGATTGCTGATGACCTTAAGGTCGATGTAGGCAGTTATATGCTTACTAGTGAAGCATTAACTTGGTGGGAGAATTATCTGAAGCTACACCAAGGAGAGCCTGAATTGAGCACCTATGATGGCTTTAAAAAGGTGTTCATGCAAGAGTACATACCAGATAGCAAAAGGTGGGAACTGCAAAGGGAATTTGCAGATCTAAAGCAAGGGTCAGGTACTGTTGAGTAGTACAAGAAGGAGTTTGACTGCTATCTGCCTTTTGTGGGTAGTCAGGTTAGGGATGAGTTAGCCAAAGCTGATAAATTTTTATGGGGCTTGTATCCCAATATTTATTTGGTGGTGAATCAATTCAAACCCACCACTTATAAAGAGGCTGCGGACAGAGCAATAGATCAAGAGAAGGTTATGACTAGAGTCCAGTCCTTAGGACAGTACAGTGTTGGGTCATCCCTTGGGAAGAGAGAATTTGATGGGAGCCATAGGCCCCTTGTCCTTGCACCGCCTAAGTCTGAGATCAACAAGGGTTCTAAAGGGCCAAGAGCCACCAAGATTGCGAGCCAAGCATCAACAGCCCAACGTGCTCGTCCTACTCAGCTTACTTGCCATGTTTGTGGTAAGGTTGGGCACACTCGGGATTAGTGCCACACCGTTTCTGGGGCTTGCTTCAAATGTGGCAAGCAGGGACATTGGATTGCAAATTGTCCACTACTAGACCCCAAAGCTCAGAGTACTCAATCTACCTCTCCGTAGGGTTCTACCAATCAGGGGGCACAGAAACAGAGTACCGGGGTTAGGACAAGAGCCCAGCAGGCGAGAGTGCAGGTGATGACTCACAAGGAAGCTGCAGCTACCGACATAATCATGGGTACCTTGCCTGTTAACTTTGATTATGCACATGTTTTATTTGATTCAGGTGCATGAAACTCTTTTATTGCTCAATCTTATGCCTTGAAACGAGTTTTGCCTATTGATACCTCTGATCTTGAACTACATGTGGACACCTCTTTAGAAGGGGTGATGACTACTAGGGAGGTGTGTAGGACTGTGGATATGTATATTGATGGTAGACAGTTGAGTGCTAGTATGTTTGTTTTAGATATCTCTGATTTTGATATCATTTTGGGGATGGATTGGTTGTCAAAACATTTTGCCTCTATAGACTACCATCGGAAATGGGTAATTTTTAATATTCCTAGTGAGCTAGAATTTAGTTTTCAAGGCAGTGGTTCTTTTGCTCCACCCATGCTAATATCTGCCTTGTAGGCTCAGAAATATCTTGTAAATGGTTGCCAGGGTTTCCTAGTCTCCGTTACAGATGCTAGTAGTGTGACATCGAGACTAGAAGACATACCGGTGGTGCGTGAGTTTTCGGATTTATTTCCAGAGGATCTCCCAGGTTTACCTCCGGATAGGGAGGTTGAATTTGCTATTGACCTTGTTCTTGGCACTGGACCTATTTCCAAAGCACCATACTGTATGGCTCTTGCAGAATTAAAGGAGTTAAAAGTCCAGCTGGAGGAACTCCTTGAAAAAGGGTTTATATGCCCTAGTGTGTCACCTTGGGGAGCTCCAGTGTTGTTCGTTAAGAAGAAGGATGGGAGCATAAGGCTATGCATTGATTACTGGGAATTGAATAAGGTGACTGTAAAGAACCGGTATCCCCTTCCTAGAATTGATGACTTGTTTGACCAGCTCAAAGGTGCCCAGGTATTTTCTAAGATTGATCTTCAATCTGACTACCACCAGTTGAAGATTAAACTAGATGATGTGCCAAAGATTGCCTTCCGTACCCGTTATGGTCATTATGAATTCAGAGTCATGCCATTTGGCTTGACAAATGCCCCTGCCAGATTTATGGATTTGATGAATCGGGTGTTTAGCAAGTACCTAGATAAGTTTGTGGTTGTCTTCATTGATGACATCTTGATCTACTTTTCTAGCCATACTCTTCATGAAAAGCACTTAAGGATAGTTCTCGAGACATTGAGAAGTGAGAGGCTGTTTGCTAAATTTAAGAAGTGTGAATTTTGGCTAGATAATGTTACATTCCTAGGTCACGTTGTGACTAAGGATGGAATCTCGGTTGATCCCCAGAAGATTGAGGTAGTGGTTGATTGGAAAAGGCCTAATAGTGTTGCAGAAATCCGTAGTTTTCTAGGATTGGCTGGTTATTACCGCCAATTTGTGGGGGATTTCTCTAGAATTGCTTCGCCAATGACTCATCTTATCAGGAGGGACACCGAGTTTGAGTGGACTCTAGAGTGTGAGAAGAGCTTTTTGACCCTTAAGGAGAAGTTGGTCACTACTCATGTACTTGCACTTCCAATCAATGGGGAAGGATTCACCGTATATAGTGATGCCTCTAAAAAGGGTTTGGGATGTGTCTTGATGCAGAAGGATAGGGTTATTGCATATGCCTTTCGACAGTTAAAGCCCTATGAAGAAAATTACCCCACCCACGATCTAGAGTTGGCAACTGTAATATTTGCACTCAAGATTTGGAGGCATTATTTATATGGTGAGACTTGTGAGATTTTCACAGATCACAAGAGCCTTAAGTATATTTTCACTCAAAAGGAGCTTAATATGGGGCAGAGGCGATTGCTTGAACTTTTGAAGGACTATGACTTGACCATTAGCTATCATCCAGGCAAAGCCAACAAGGTAGCAGATGCGTTGAGTAGGAAGTCCTCTGGCACTGCCTCTAGCATCCTTGCCACTCATAAGGAGTTACTTGAGGATCTTGTGAAACTAGATGTGGAGTTAAGAGTGGATAGTACTACGGCTTATCTAGCCGCTCTTAGTGCACAACGAGCATTAATAGATAGAATTAAACTTGGCCAGCAGAAATATCCTTTCTTGTAGAGGATGAAGGAAAAAGTAAGAGCCAAGGAACCCCACACGCAAGAATTTAGAATTTCTGATAACGAGACTCTGTGGTTTGGTGACAGGCTGTGTGCACCAAGAGATCATGCTTTAAGGCGTGAGATAATGAGAGATGCCCATTATACTAGCTATACAATTCACCCAGGTAGCACCAAGATGTATCGCGATTTGCGTAGTAAATTTTGGTGGCGGAACATGAAGAGGGAGATAGCTAGATTTGTCTCACATTGCCTGACTTGCCAAAAAGTCAAGGCTGAACACCAGAGACTTCCTGGGAAATTGCAGCCTTTACTTATTCCCCAGTGGAAGTGGGAAAACATCAGCATGGACTTTGTGATCGGCTTACCACTAACCGTAAGGGGTAATGATTCCATCTGGGCATTGTTGATCGATTGACCAAATCAGCTCACTTCTTACCCTACCAAACTAGCACTTCCATTGAGAAGCTTGCCAATATGTACATGGATTAGATAGTCAAGCTGCATGGAGTCCCTGTGTCTATTGTATCAGATAGAGATACCAGATTTTTATCTCATTTTTGGACAAGCTTGCAGCAGGCACTTGATACTCAATTAAATTTCAGCACGGCCTTCCATCCTCAAACTGACGGGCAATCTGAGAGAACTATTCAAATACTTGAGGACATGTTGAGGGCTTGTGTTCTAGATTGGAAGGGTTCGTGGGATCAACACTTATCCATGGCTGAGTTTGCATATAATAACAGTTATCAATCCAGCATCCACATGGCACCGTTTGAGGCTTTGTATGGTCAAAGGTGTAGATCACCTATTTGTTGAACGGAAGTGGGCAAAAGGAGCATTTTAGGCCCAGAATTGGTGCAACAATGTTCTGAGATTGTGCAGCTGATCAAGGAACGCCTTCGTGCTGCACAAAGCAGGCAGAAAAGCTATGCGGATAGAAGGAGACGAGACCTTGAGTTTGAAGTTGGTGACCATGTATTTTTGAAGGTGTCACCTACTCGAGGTGTCCTCAGGTTTGGCATCCAGGGAAAATTGAGTCCGAGGTATATTGGACCATATCCTATTTTGGAAAGGATTGGCGAGGTAGCTTATAGATTGGAGTTGCTTGGAAATTTAGCGGGTGTTTATGATGTGTTTCATGTGTCCTTACTTCGAAAGTATGTTCTCGACCCGAGTCACATCATTAATCCTGAACCAATTCAACTCCGGGAGGATCTCACTTATGACGAGCACCCAATCCGCATTTTAGATTTCAAGGAGAGGATAATGTGGAGAAGGACCATTCATTTTGTTAAGGTCCTCTAGGATAACCATTCAGTTGAAGAAGCTACTTGGGAGTTGGAATCCAAGATGAGGTAGGAACATCCGCACCTCTTCCAAGGTTGAGGTATGAGTTTAGGGGACTAAACTCCTTTTTAGGAGGGGTGGATGTAATACCCCAAAAATTTCAAGAACATTAAAGTTGAGTTAGGGACTTAATGGTGAGGAAACGTTATTAATGAACCTAATAGTCAAATTTTCAAATTCCAAAGGGTTCAAAAGATTTTGGATAAAGTCGGCTGACTTTTTCTCTTTCTTTCTTTTCTTTTTTTTTTTTCTTTCTTTCTTTCTTCCCCAGCCATTTTCGCGTGTCTGCTTTGTCTCTTTTCTCCCCTGCAGCTGAAAGAAACCCAACCATCACCGACGCCCCACCTAAGAAATTGGTAAGAGAACTTGATGATTTTTGTTCTCTTTTTGTTCAAGAACAAGTCTAGGACTTAGAAATCTTCACCCTTGTAGAAAATTTCCCAGATCTGTTGTCTTCTTCCTCCTCTGCCACCGATTGCTACTGGGTGTGAACTTCAGTTTTCCTGGTAAAAATCAGCCATGAATTTCCTCTTTTTAGCCTTGATGTATCATGTATGTGGGTTCACTCTAATTTTCATTTCTTTCAATTGCTAGTGGTCCCCGTGGAAGCCCTCCAAATTTTCTGCCAGCTCTTCCTTATACCTGCCAACTCCAGCCTTGCTTGCTGAGAATTTTTGGTAGGTTGGCTTCTCTAATTTTTGAAAATTGGTTGATTAATTGCTGCCTTGTTGAGCTTAATTGGTTTTATTGGTGCTTAGGTTGTCCGAAAATCTGCTGGAAGTGGGGGATGAATTTTGGCAACCTTGAAATGAGTTTTTAAGTCAAATTATGTAGGAAATCCTTTAATTGGGCTGCTGTGATGTTGTATGAAAGAAAAAGAGAAAAAAATTTCGTGACTTAGCCCTTTTTGTCAAAGTCGGTTCTCCCATTTCCTGTCCATGAATTTGGAAGAAATTGTATATGTGCAACTATGTATATATATGTATATATATATATATATATAAATGCACAATCTAATGTTGTGTGCTCAAATTTCGGATAGGAGAAAAATAAAATAAAAAAATAAATAAAATTTTTTTTATAGATATTAATTCGAAAATATTGTGATTAGGTCCTTGATCGTCTTGTGATCCTAGCACTTGGATTAAGCCTTCTGTCCTGTGTGATTAAGGTAAGTAAATTATGGTAATGCCCTTAAATTTTAAAGCATCTTTTAACTTGTTTTTGAGATGGTGGTAAGGTTTAAATGGATTTATTTGCATATGAGCACTACAACCAGATGCACCTATACTGATGGAACTTTTCCGTCTGTATACACCCTTTTTCTGTCAGTATAGACCCCCCGGGTCTATTCCAACGGAAGTCCTTTCAGTTGGTGCAAACCCCGTTAGTATAGGGTCTATACCGACGACAAATCCGTATGTATAGACCTTGAGATCTATTCCAATGGAAGATTTGTCCGTTGGTATAAACCCTGAGAAATTTTAAGAGATTTTGCCATGAATATAGACCTGACCTGTACAAATGGATAATTCCGTTGGTATAGACCCTCAAAAATTTTTAAAAAAATTTGCCGTGGGTATAGACCTTAACCTTTACAGATGTATAATTCCGTTAGTATAGACCCTTTTTTTTTTTTTTTACAATTGGTAATTCACTTTTATTTTATAATTTTCTCCTACACTTATTATTAATACCATTTTTCTGAGCTATAGAATGATTGTTCTGAAAATCAAAATGGAAGTAGAACTTCCAAAAGACCAAAACCAAATACATTAACTCTGCACAAACAAGAAAAAAACACAACTTTGAAATTTCCTAACCATTTGCACGAATCAATCCCTTCAAAGCACACAACTACTCAAACTAAGCTAGTCTTGACTCTAAAACAGCTGTCTTGTTTCGAGGCCAAAATAGTTGATCACTTATACAGAAACACCCAAAAACCTATGGATAAAGAAAGGAAGCTCAAGCTATTCTATGGCCAAAAATATGAAAGGCAGCTATGACTCAAAAAGCCACTGGAGACCTATACTCGTCTATGGGAATAAATTAAAGCATGAGCATTGGCAATATAACAACCAAGAAAAACAAAATTATAGCCAACTAGAGGTACCAACCTCCTTGAATCTAACAATATTTGCATGCTTCAGCGATCTATGGTTCAGGATTTCCCTTTGCACATGCTCATCAATCTGCAATACCCAACAACCCCTCAATCAACAATCCCATATCCAGACAAAACAAAAAATTCAAAAGAAAAAAACAAAGTAATGATTTTGATACCCAAAAGAGACAAGTGATGATAATAAAAGTGGAATGAAAAAAGGGAATTAGACTGAACCTTAAGGCCTCTCTCGATGAACTTAACAGCAAAGAGCTCTTCTGTACACTTATCTTTCACTAGCTTCGCCACCCCAAAATTCCCAGAGCCAATATCCTTCACAATCTCGTAACGTTCCATAGTTGCAGCAACAATCGAAAGGAAAGCCACCCAATTCGTAGATAATGGCTCTCTTTCAGACAAAACAGCAAAAACATACAAACTCGAAGCTTTCTTCCTTAAAGAGGATTAGGCTGAGATTAGTTTTGGTATAGAATAAAATATTTAAAAAAGAGAGAGAATAAAATATTGCAGAAAAGAACCTTATATAACTAATAATGATCAACAAACCTCAACCAAGCTGCTGCAAATTGAAGAAC